CAAGCACATTACAAAGACGATATGTTCGAAGGGGCCGAAGTTATTTTCGGCGAGTCTATATTTTTGTTCAGACAATTGCGTAATTTGATACAATATGATCGTGTTTGACTTCAAAGGCCCATAAATCGCTACAATGTTGATAATGACTATAACTATAGGGAGGAATTAGTTGAATCTTATATTTTTGAATCGAATGGTGGTATTTCTGTCTTCATAGCATGCACTGAAATCCAGACCTCAATAGGGGGGCTATTAAATGGAATGGCCCATTTGACTTGGTGAGTGGTGACTACAACCAAAGCAAATTGAAAGCATGCTGCCCTGCTTTACATAGAAAACAGAATAAATTTTGAAGCATTTCTACTGTTAATACTTGTAACGATAATCAGAATTGATGAGAAAATATGGAGTCTTTCTGTATGACTGTATGTTAGTGATATGATCTCATTGTTCATTATAATATAAGGCTGAAATAGTTTGAAACTCGTGTGAAAATAAATCCAGTATATATGTACAGACTACAGTACGTACCTTGATATACAGAACAATCAGTCAATATCATTTCATATTCCAGGCAACACTATCAGTGTTTATTCAGTCGCATTTGAAGCCGAACAGCATCTGATATATACGAGGGTTGCCAAAGCGAACAAAACAATGTCACAAATATGAACGCCATACTCCGACAAATTGATACAATATGATGATGAATGTTGCACAGTTTTGTGTACATGTGTGTTCACAGCTTATATCTTAAGTATTTTTCGTAAAAATTGTTAAAACTTTGAAAATAAATACATAAACAATCAACAAAACATGTATATTTTCAAGCAAGAAAATCGTAAGCGCCAGCGCTAATTGTAGTCAGCAACATAACGTTGTCGTTACTGCGCATGCGATAAATCTCCAAAAATCTTGGAGATTTCATCGTATTTTACCAGGGTCTTCCTCAGCCCACGCGCCACCACGAGGAAGACCCTGGGGACGAGGTTGTGCCATCACTCGATATATCGGTACAATTACGAAAATAACAATAGTTTATGTTTGTGCGATGTTACTCTGAGTGTATATCCACACCGGGCAGGCTTGAAAAATATGCTTGGCCACGGCGGGATTCGAACCAACGACCTTTGGAATACTAGCCCAATGCTCTTCCAACTGAGCTACGCGGTCAGGACGGTTCGAGTAAGCGATATTTCGGAACTGAGTCTAGTTCCTTCGATATCAGTGTAATCTAATATTTATGAAATCTGCTGTGTTGGTGTAATGTACTCAGGTGAATAAGATGTTTGTGCGATGTTACACTCAGAGTAACATCGCACAAACATCTTATTCACCTGAGTACATTACACCAACACAGCAGATAACAATAGTTTATATCATAAATACGGCAACAGCAGGGGCGTAGGAAGCGGGGGGGCACGGGGGGCACGTGCCCCCCAATTTTTTTAAAGGACTAGAAGTGCCCTTTTTTGTGATAAAAAGAGCCCTTTTTGTGTTGAAAAGTGCCCTTTTTTGTGAGGAAAAGTGCCCCTTTTGTAGAAGCTAATGTCGCTGTAAATACTAAATTAAAACAATAGGTGCCGTTTTTGTGTGGAAATTTACAATTTTTTTTTAAAAATTAGGTCACAAACATAAATTTCGGTATGATACGACGGAAAATTTTCCTCAGGAGAAATTTTCCTCCCACGCCCCCCCCCCTCCGTCGACAACATTTCCGGGAAAATTTTTTTAGGTGCCCTTTCCGATAGTAATGTGCCCCTACAAGCCGGTGCCCCCCCAAACTCCAGGTGCTTCCTACGCCCCTGGGCAACAGTAACTTCTAAAATTAGCACCAATTATTCTAATTCTGTACTCCTGTTAATCAAAAATTCAAAATCAACATTCTGACCAATCAGATACCGCCTGCTACGCAGGCTACCAATCAGAATACGCCGGCACCCAGCTGCCGGGGAGAACTCAGAATGTGTAGTTTTTGGGCAGGCGGTATTTCAAGCTTCCCATTCTCTCGTGCCCGCGAATACCGCCTGCTACGCAGGCTAGTTAGGGGGATAATCCCAACCCACCCTGTCAACATTCTCTGTCGGAAGAAACCGAAGCACCCGGAGAAAACCCACGACTTTCGGTAGAGCGTTGACTCACTCTTTTCACATAAGTGTCATGCATGAGTTCGTAGCCAGAATCGAACCCACGATCTCAGAGGTGAAAGGCGCTTGCTCTGACGATTGCTGAACAATTTCACTGAAAGCAATGAGCTGTCCGCCATCTTGGATTAATTCTTACTACGGTTTTGATGACGTCAACGTGGGGTTAACACTGGGTTAACCTTGCAAAATTTCCTGTAGGTGACCGAGTAAAGACCAAATGGTTTTTTTAATTTTCAATTCGAAAATTGAAATAGAAACCGAAAACTAATTTTGGGCTAATATTGATCACTGGCTGTCAATGCGTGACTGCACTTGTGACGTAACATGCATATCCTGAATAATCCAAGATGGCGGACCTCGCTGTTTTCAGACAAAATATTTCAAGAATCAAGAGAGATACGTCAAAGCTTCATGTGGAAAATCTTTAGTAATTATATATTTTTAAAGTTCTTTCACACGAGACAAACAAACATTTTACTGCCAATGTCTTTAATTAAACTATTCAATCGATTTAGGTATACAAACTTTTGTAAATATAACGTGCGCATGCGTAGTATCCTTGACAAAGCATTTTCTATAATTAATAAATACTTTTAACTGCTGTATTTCATAAACAAATATTACTTAGCTTTTCTGTATATTTTTCGTATTTGCCAATTTTACTAATGCGCTAGACCTCCTGTTAGACGATGCAATTGTTATTGCTATCACTCCCACAAGCGGTAGGCTCGAGTTTTGAACTTAAATACTCCAATTTGCAACATTATGTTTAAGACCGTACTTTTTAGGATCATTTCTATAGTACGCGTCCCGTCTTTGTTCTCTAACATAGACAACATTCACAACCACGATGATGAGTGGTAGTGCTTTCTTCTGAGCGGGAAGCAGATTACTAAGGTTGCTTTTACAGTGACGTTAGTAATTATTGATGACCGTTCCCTTTCGCTCTTCGGAGCAATGGGAGGAAGAAGGCGCATTCAGAGTGGTTTCATTTTTACTTCAAATTTAATAAAAGTGGTAGGCAATACGTTAGAAGATGAAAGCGCGAGTTTATGGAACTCTCGTAACATTCTCGCCACAAACTCTCAATATCGCACGCTTAACTTGGTATATCAAGTATTACGCTTACTTAAGTTACTTACTTAGCCTAGCTTATTTGTCTTCACAACAATTGGGATTACTTTCTTAACTGTGTTTGTCCTGACCCATCCTGTCAACTTTCACTTGTGGGGAAAACCCACGACTTTCGGCAGAACGTTGACAGACTCTTTTCGCATGAATCCGTAGCGAGAATCGGAATCCGTAGCGAGATCTCAGAGGTGAAAGGCGCTTTCTCTGACGACTGCACCACCGAAGCCCCCCAATTACCAATTCTTTTCTATACTGTTGCTAGTGATTATCAAGTATTAACATACTCGCTTAAGGCTAAGGCTAATTTCCGCTCCAGAAAATAAGCACCGGAAAGGATAGGACGTTTCCGATCCCGTCCGATCTCATCCAACAAGCGATTTCTGGTAAAAGAACAAATGGAATGATCGGATCGGAAAAGGGAAAAAAATGGAGCTCGTTCCAGCCTCACACCCTCCGTTTTTGTAAACAGTTATACCAGGTATTATTTAATTATTTTCATTTATGTGAGATAATACGGCATTTTGACTGGTCGCCAGGTTTAACTTTTTATTATCCGGCCAGCAACGTCCCCGGATCAATCGGAACCAAAAATTTTTGCTGATGGCGCATGCGCGGATTATGTTTTGTTCCAATCCGGTCCGATCCGCTACTTATTTTTCGGGGTGGAAATTAGCCTTCAGGTACCGATTTCATGTTATAGACTTGTTATCGGTTGGATTGTGCATGTGCGGGCATCTAACCTTAGTACCTGGAACCTGCACGCAGGCTATACGTTTACAAACGATCAGAAATTGAGGTCACAAATTGAGAGCAAGGATAAGATAGCTCATCTTAACTGAACATGCGTAGATTGCTTGACCGCGGTGAGAATCGAACTCACAACCTTTGGTTTGCAAGTCCGATGCTCTATCAACTGAGCTACAAGGTCAAGTCGGTTCAACGGGGTGATATACCAGAAACAAAAATTCAACCACGGTCAAGCAAACTTTTCAACTTGCCCGGTATGGATACCCTCAGAGACAACAAAACAAACAAATATAAGATGACTGGAAGAACACTTTAAACTTACAATTTGAGCCTTACTTTGTTGCGAATAGATCAAAGTAAAGCAAAAAAGCGCGCGACATGGCCATTTTCTGTGCAAGGTATTGTTCGAAATATCCAAAAATTACATTCCTCCTATATCATCAAATATGTCGAAGGACTGACGTGGTTTCGGTAATAAAAACTTTTTTAAATAAGCAGTTTCCACTTACCAGGTATCTCGAACATGACACGGTAAAGACTGGAAGCGCCATCTACTTTGATTGTTGCACCATTTATAAATGATGCTGCTGGAGAGAGTAGAAAGCACACGGCAGATGATACCTAAACAAAAGTATGCTATTATTGGTCAAAGACAAAGCCATGTGTAAAAGTGTGTATTTGTTAACAACTTATTTAGAGGTTAGTTTCATTCACTGATCTAGAAAAGTAGAACTGGATATAGTACCTTTTGAATTCAATGAATCAAGTTTGAAGACAGAATATTTATAATGACAAGAGACTTTTATACTTGTCAAATTATTTTCATACCGAATCATCCAGGTGTTTGAATTAGCTTAACTACCAAGCAAAGGTCTTTTGCCTTATAGGTCTGACCTCATTATTTATTCAATCACTAGCAAGCTGTAAAGACCAGGTACGGTAGTGACATGGTAAAACTTTATTTTAACAGGGTAACCTATTCATCACATAGCTGGTATACATAGGTGCCCTGTGATTTAAAAACTGCATATAGAGATTTTAAAATTTACAACATGCTTACATTTCCAATTAACATCCAAACACGTGAGCTTTAAAAAGTCTTGGCATATTTGATGTCAGCAGGAAGTGTATTAAATAACACTGAACTCGGGTATCTAAACATACGTTTCCCAAGCGTAAGTTTAAACTAAGGTGACCCGCTTGCTAGGGTAACCCTCCTGATAGGGTCAACCTACCTCCTTGTAAACAGCCCTACCTTTTGGTTTGGGCAAACTCTTCTAAAATGCGAGCAACACCAGTTACACCACAGCAGACCTGTGGTTGTCACACGAATATGGCCGCAAATGGCTTCATTTGTGCATCAGCAGTTTATAATCAGTGGTCTTAGTGGGACGGTGCAGGCGGTAGTCAACTATATATCGTGGTCAATTGAAAGTTACGAGAAAAGCCGAATGACTGAATCCTTATACATCCATCTTGAGTTTGATGGAAAATGCATGCAATTGAAAACACTCACTTCATTTGCTCGCTTCTATCAGTGTTAGTACATTTGGAGTTGAACATTGCGTGCAGCACAATATTAAGGTTACAGAACACCTTTGAGTGTTAATTTTGCCTAAAATTTTTTTATTGGTTTCAATGAAAGCATTAGACTAGTTCTACTATCTGACCAAGTTTGAACGAAAAATGTTGAAAACTCGCAGAGTTATTTAATAAAATACATTTCGCTGCAATAAGAAAAACATTGAAAATGTAATATTCAAATTCAATTTTCTCCCGAAGAATTTTACGGTAATTACTGATTTTCAAACGAGTTGTGCTCCTGCGGGTTTTAACCAATTTTTCTCAAATTTTCACAGGACATAGCTAAATACGTCAGCTTCAAAATTGTGTTCGGCTTTTTTTTAATTTTAGATATTTTAAAATAAAGAGCAATTCACTCAAACGATTCAGAAATATATTGCAGTCGTCAAAGAAATCGCCATATCAGCGGAATGACGAAATAAACAAAAATTTCCGAACACAATTTTTTAGAACAACTATTTTACTGTATAAAAATGATATTTTCATAAATATAACTTAAAACCAGCAGGAGCACAACTCAAAAGCGTAACGGTACCGCGATTTAAGATTTTCCTGAGTAATTCTTACATTATTTTATTGTTTGTTAATTTTACAACTTTACCATATTTTGCATGCACTGGAGAACATTTGGTGAAAATTTGATTCAAATCGGACTGATATTGAGTGCGCAGTAGCGATTTTCCGCAAAACGCCAAAAAGGGTGTCCTGTAACCTTAACCACGCATATCTACCGCGTACGGGAGAAACTTATCAAAGCCTACCGCGCACGAGAGAAACTTGCTGAGCAAAGTAAACTGCCTCGCGTGGCAGCATGTTTCTCTCCGAGTCTCGTTTGCATGTGGATAGTTTTCGTGAGGATTTAACCCCCCGAGGCCTTGAGAAAAATATCCATTGTGTTTCGGATATTTTTTACCTCACGAGGAAAAAATCTCAACGTCTGCGGATGTTGCGAGCTAGTGCTGAGCTGCTTGAATTAACTAGCCAATGACAACCCCATAGTTTCTTCACGTGACATTGGTCAAAATGGCGGGAAATGCAAACGATCTTAGGTTGAGTAGTTTTCCCAACTTGTTGCGAGGCTGTCGGCCTCATCAACCTTGTTACAAGATGATAACAACTTGTTCCATGCAATGTTGACACAACCGGCAACAAGCAGTGTGAATATCTTGTCTCACAAGCTGTGAGATTTTTACGCGTGTAGCTAAACAAAGAATCTGTTATGACACCTCGTCTGAATTGGCCAATATACATGTAATTGTCATGCAAGCGAAAGCTGTCTATTATGAATAATTGAATAAACACACTGACCTCTTCAGGAGTACCACAACGTTTTGCAGGAATATATTTTTTAGCTTCCTCAAATACGTCTAAACTATTTTTAAGATAGTTCGCAGCTGCCGTTGGAGAATATATAGGACCCTACAAGTAAAACATAAATATCACCAGTATTAGAAAAATACAAACCTCATTTCTGTCAATTACATATTAAAAAAATTTGGTCCTTCGTTCTACCATGCGTATTGCATTTGCGCCATTCATGCACGTATACGGCAAATCAACAATAGTGCTTTCTCACGCCGCCATTTTTGGGTGGCTTTTCAGTCGAAGTCTGCGAGATAACTCCACATAACAGCGACTTTTCATAATGTTTTGGACGAATGATGCTAAATTTGCTTCATTTTGAAAAATTGTTTTTCACATTGTTTTAATTGTCTGCATTGGTCAACGAGAATTACATGGCAACCCAAAAATGGCGGATATTCGTCATCGTGAGAAAGGCTAATTGACGTTATGTGTCAAAATACAATACGCACGTTTACGTTTTGCATAATAAACCCTAGCCAATTTGAAACCAAAGACAAAAATATCAGTTGGTTAGAGCGCTGCACCTGAATCGCAGGTTTGATTCCTGGCACAGGGCAAAGATTTACATTTTCACAACTGCTTCTGGTTAGGTATAATTAACGTAAAAATTATATATAAAAATACCACTCGAAATTTCCATCTACAAACTCCTTACAACAGTTATATCACGTGAGATGGCCAACACCCTGATATTTACCCATACACCGTACATTGACAATCACCTTACTCCTTAGCCACTTAAAAATGTCCATCCTGATCAGGTGGGATAAAGCCTTCACATATATATGGAATATTTTGTTCCACCTAGCGCAATGTCAGACCTCACCTAGCCGGGCTGGCTCGTTTCTCGTATAAACACAAATTCAATTTTATATGCATTAACAAAGGAAAGCATCTCATGCACTCGGGCGAGTTTCCCAGTTATCTAGGCTATTAACTAATTCGAATGGTTTAATTTCGCGCACCCTAAATGCGTTATTTTTGCGCGGTATAAAGCTCGAAAATCCATTAAATATAAATGGCAACCTCGCAAGCCAGGTTCTCTACTTCCACTTCCCTCTCAAACACGCTTCACGTGTTTGGACGGGTAGCGGAAGTAGAAAGCCTGGCTTGCAAGCACCAAACTCAAAGAGAAAGATAAACAGGACAGTTTCTTTATGCGGCTGTGACGAGTGCACACGAGGACTTACCGGTGCTACGCAATTTAT